CAACCCAACTACCCCTATGCCCCCTACCCGTCACCCTCACCTCCCCCCACCCCCACTGCCCTGGCCCACCAATTTGACACAATGACCCTCCGTGAACCCACGTGGCTCATGGACACCGGTGCATCTCATCACATCGCCTCCGACCCAGGTACTATTTCCCATGTTTATTCAAAAAATCTTAATTCACCACCTTTCATCACTGTAGGTAATGGATCAAAAGTGCGCGCCACGGCGGTTGGTAAACACACGTTCCCCACCTCCCCCCCTTTATCCCTTCACAATGTTCTAATTTCCCCCTTCATTGTTCATAACCTTATCTCAGTTCGTCAGTTTACTCGTGATAACAATTGCACTATTGAATTTGACTCCACTGGTTTTTCTGTGAAGGACCTTCGGACGGGCAACGTGATTCATCGCTCCAATGATAATGGACCCCTCTACCCTCTTCGCCCGCACGTCCCGGTTGCTCAAGTACACGCTGCCTCTGTTGACACCCAGACATGGCATCGTCGTCTTGGTCACCCGAGCCCAGCAGTCCTTCATGCCATTCCCCCTTTATCTGTTTTCAATAATACACAATTCAATGACACTTTATGTCATGCTTGTCAGTTAAGAAAACATGTTCGTCTCCCTTTTACCTCTTCTGGTCGTATTTCAACTTTTCCATTTCAACTTATGCATACCGATTTATGGCAGTCGCCTGTACCTAGCATTACTGGTTTCAAACATTATATGCTCCTTCTAGATGATTTCTCTCATTATTTGTGGGTTTTTCCTTTACGTCACAAATCTGATGTTTCCTCTCAATTAACTAATTTTTTAGCTTATGTGAAAAATCATTTTAACACGACTATTAAAAATGTACAATGTGACAATGGAACAGAATACCGTAACACCCCTCTTCAAACTATTTTTAACTCCCTAGGCATCCTTTTCCGCTTCTCTTGCCCCCACACAAGCCAACAAAATGGTCGTGCCGAACGTACTATCCGAACCATCAACAACACAATTCGAACCTTGCTCTTTCAAGCCCAACTGCCTCCCGAATATTGGGTCGAGGCACTTCACATGGCCTGCCACCTCTTCAACCTCTTACCCACCACCACTATTCAAAAATGCACTCCCCACGAAGTGCTTTTTCACACACCACCCTCCTACGATCATCTACGTGTTTTTGGATGTCTCTGCTACCCGAACATCTCCGCCACTGCCCCCCACAAATTATCCCCCCGTTCCGCCCGGTGTATTTTTCTCGGCTACCCCTCCAACCAACGAGGATTTCGATGCCTCGACCTAACCACCCACAAAATCATCATCTCTCGCCATGTCATCTTTGACGAATCCACCTTTCCCTTCGCTCACCCCTCCACGCCGCCTGATCTCGATTTTCTTAACATTATGGACGACACAATTCCCCACCATCTCCACCATCTTTTTCCGTCCTCGTCACCTCTCACAGCCCACCCACCCGACACCTACTCCGTCCCACGTTCTGCCACGGGCCAGCCCGCAATCCCCCTCCTTTCCACCTCACGATCCACTCCCCTTCTTCCTACCCAAACCCAGGCCTCGGCCCAACCCTCCTCCCACGTACAACCTCCGGCCCAAACCACCCTTCCCGCCCAGTCCTCAACCCAGTCCACCCCTTCAGTCCAGCCCACGACACAGCCCATTGAGCCAAACCCCTCAACCTCCACAAATACACACCCAATGACCACACGCGCCAAATCCGGCATCCGCTGCCCCAAATCCATCCTTAACCTCAACACTACAGCCCACATCTCACCACTCCCCCCAACCTATCGTAGCGCCCTAAAAGATCCAAACTGGTATGATGCAATGTATGATGAATTTAATGCTTTAATAAAGAATAATACATGGGAATTAGTACCCCCCCTCCCCCACCCAAAATATTATCACTGGAAAATGGCTTTTTCGACACAAATTTGGCCCCACAAGTGATCTGTCCAGGTACAAAGCTCGTTGGGTAGTCCGAGGGTTCAACCAGCGTTTCGGCATCGACTACAGCGACACGTTCAGTCCGGTCATTAAACCCGCCACCATACGGATTGTCCTCAGTCTGGCCCTCTCTCGGGGCTGGCCCATACACCAGCTGGATGTTAAGAATGCTTTCCTCCATGGCCATCTTCAGGAGACTGTCTATGCCAGTCAGCCTTCTGGTTTCGAAGATCCATCACGTCCACATCATGTCTGCAAACTAAAGAAGGCTCTATATGGCTTAAAACAGGCACCTCGCTCTTGGTATCAACGGTTTGCTGGTTTTCTACACCATATTGGTTTTCAGGGCTGCAAGACTGATACTTCTTTGTTTGTCTACACACGAGGCACTCACATGGCCTACCTGCTCCTTTATGTTGATGACATTGTGCTCACAGCCTCGATGACCTTGCTTCTATCTCAGATCACCGAGCGCTTAAAGGGTGAATTCGCCATGACAGATATGGGGGAACTCAATTTTTTTCTCGGTATTAATGTCCAGCGCACCAAACAGGGACTCTTCTTACATCAGACTCAGTTTGCTCATGAAATTTTGGAAAGAGCAGGCATGACACACAGCAAGCCGATCTCTACACCTGTGGACTCTAAAGGGAAAATGTCCGCTACTTATGGTGACCCAGTCCACGACCCCTCTCTTTATCGTTCCCTTTTTGGTGCTCTTCAGTATCTTACTTTCACCCGACTTGGTCTTACATATGTAGTACAGCAATTATGCCTCTACCTTCACGCCCCTCGGATGCCCCATCTCACTGCTTTAAAACGGGTACTCCGTTATTTGCAGGGTACCGTTACCCATGGGATCACATTATCTCGCAGCCCCTCCGATCTACTTCAGGCCTACTTCAGGCCTACTCCGATCTACTTCAGGCCTACTGTGTATTTCTCGGAGACAACCTCGTTTCATGGTCTTCAAAACGACAAGGAACCACCTCCAGATCTAGTGCTGAGGCAGAATACAGAGCCGTAGCCAATGCAGTTGCTGAAACCAGTTGGATCCGAAATCTTCTACTTGAGCTACACCAACCTCTGCGCCGGGCCACCATCGTCTTCTGTGACAACATAAGTGCAGTTTATTTATCCTCCAACCCAGTGCAACATCAGTGTACCAAGCATGTCGAAGTTGACATTCACTTCGTAAGAGACAAAGTAGCACTGGGTCATGTTCGAGTTCTTCACGTTCCATCTTCCTCTCAGTTCGCAGATATCTTCACCAAAGGGTTGCCATCTATTCTCTTCAATGATTTTCGACATAATCTTGGAATCCGAAGATCTCCAACGGAGTCGGTAGCATGTTGAATATGTTAAGAATATTAGTTAAATATGTTAAGCATATTTCCTGTATCAAATCTAGTACATACCTTATTTGTATAGGATTCACATTTAATGTTGTTTCCTTATTGTAACCCCTTCCCATTTGTATATAAAGGGAGGTGGATTCATTGTATTAATCGTGGAAAATAATAATTCTTCAGAAAGAATAATTTACTTTCTTGAGTTGATGATTCTCACAACTCAAAAAAGTGTAAGACTTTATGATGGGAAATATTATCTGGTCAGGACATCTCTGTCTAAATTTCGTAATTAGCAAAAACCGGTCGAAACAATTTACGCCATCAGCAAAAACTCAACGAAGAAAAAAATGAAGAAATCGCCAAGAAATTCGAAGCCGAGAGATTCATGACACACTAATGGGGGATTGCATTAAGCATATTTTCAGTAGTAATTTTATGAAACTTTTTTTATGTGTTCTATTTAAATTTTTTATAACTTTTATTTAATTTTTTTGAAAGCTAATGTAATTTTTATTTATGTTATAAATGAAATCTTTTTTATTTTAATTTAAAGAATGTATATTAAAAAATAAAAAGATTTCATGTTTCAAGCCCAGGCAGTGGCGGACCCGGACTCTCAAATGAGCGGTGTCAAGAGTAAAGATGTCAAACTTCTCAGGCAGATTGTGTGGGCATGTGACGAGAGTTTGGAGGTAGCGTCTCGAGATTTCGTTTACAAACACAATAAGAAATAATAAAAAATATCAAACTAATAAATTTTACCTCTAACGTTTAAATAATTGAAATAGCATTATTATATGACGTTATTATTAATTATAAAAATGATAAAAAAATGATAGCAATAGAAAGTATTGAAGTTAATACACATTGCAGTGGTAGATAATTCTGTTTTTTAAACACAATAAGAAACAAAAAAAAATAGAGAGTAATAAACATTCCTCGAACATTCAAATGATTCAAAATAACACAATTATGGAGTAAAAAGTATTACTCCGTATTATTAGTTATAGAAAAAATTGTTGTCAATACCTAATATTGTTTTTAAAAAATTTCAGTGGTGTCGGTTGACACCACCGGACCCCCCTAGGTCTGCCACTGAGCCCAGGTATTTCTAGTCCAACTGTGGTATAAATTAAAGGAGAGTTAAAGCTGATGTGGTAGAGAGAATGTTTGTTGCCCTGGTTTGAAGTCCTGAGCATCAAACTCATTTCCAGTGCTCTAATGAGTCTAGTACTCTCTTCGTCCCTGAAAAACTTCTCTTATTTCTTTAAAAAATCACTTTACCCCTCCTAATTTTTAATCTACCTGATCCTCATATCTATTCATTATTAATCTATCTATCAAATCCTACTTCTACTCATAGCATCCAAGAACATTTATAGAAATTTAACACTAATAAAATACACTCTTAAGTTCTTTCAAAATCAAAATATTTCATGTTTTCTGATACGAAGGAGGTAATATTTTGTTGAATATACTTGGGCAGTTGGGGGCCTTGCGCCACTGCCCCACTTCTCTTCCCCGTGGGCCGCCCTAGCTATTAGCATGTTGGAAATGTAATATGTGGCCCTTTAGGAATATTTCATACTCTTTCTACCTCTAAGCAAAAGTCCTACTTTAATTTCAAAAAGTTTAAAAATCTTGTTTAAGTGAAAAAATGTATGAATATAATTTGTTTTAAAAAAATTACAAGCTGCACACTATTTTCCTTTTATGAAATGAAAAAAAGTAAAGAGTTTATTTTAGTACGGATGAATTGAAAAAAGAAAAATTAAGAATTTTATTTGAGGAATATGAATGGTGAGAATCAACAATCTCAACACTTTTTTTAAAGAAGGAACGAAACATTTGAAAGATTAGAAAATGATACATATTCTTGAAACAACAGTACCCAATTAAGTAAGACAAAATAAAAAGATAAAAACGAACCCATCTTATTTAACAAGACCCAACAAAGATTCATGCACAAATGAAGTCAGGAGGGGGCTGTTGTTTGCCACAAGTGTTGAGAAGCAGAGTGAGTGAGATGGGAATGTCAATGTTGATCCCGAGAACGGTGGCTTTCAACGCCGTGCAGAGGCACACGGCGGCCTCTAGATCCAACAGACCGCCGAGTGCCGAGCAACAATGTGGCGAGTCGGGTGGGGTCCCGACCATGGCTCCCACGTTTCCGTTCAGCAAATTGGCACATGCCCCTAACTTTAGGACACCCCTAGGGCAATGTCCTTCGGCTGGGTTCGGGTTCGGGTTCGTGTTGTGGGGGCAGCCAGTGGTGCACCCACTCACTAGAGTGAAGAAAAGTAGGGTTGTGGAGAGAAATAGAGCAAGTGAGAGTGGTGTTTTTGAATCCATTGGTAATGGCTGGCTCTCTAGTGACGTTTGGTTTAGTTTGGGAATTTATAGTGGAATTGTTTGCACCAATTATTTTGTAGTTTTAAACAAAGAAAACTTTGAAAGTATTTACATTTAAATGTAAAGGAAAAAAACGGAGTCAAAAGAAATGGAGGCATGTGACCATGTGAACAAAAAGAATGGTTATTAGGGCTTTTCTTGAATTAGAAAAACAATTTATGCTAATACTTTAAAATTTTGAAATTTTACATGAATATTTCAAAATTACTGTCATTCTTAATATTTTTATAATTAATTTACATCGATAAAATTAATATAAAACGTTATTTACAAACAATCTCATAAAATGATTTTTTTCCTTGTCTTTGTTTTCCTCTCACTTTTTTTCTCTTATATATAAACACCAAACAAAAAATTTCCACGACATTTTATTTTATTTTTTTCAAATTCCTCGAATCAAAGAGAGAATCACTTATCCAGATTTTTTAAAACTCTAGTTTGTCGATTTTTAAACGTGATCTAGCCTCTTAATTATAGGTTTTAAATTTCAATTTTTGGACACCAGATTCTAAAAAAAAAGTTTTACGTGCAAGATTCAAAAAGGAAACACATGCACTTAAGAGAGCGTCTTAGAGTATAATTAATATTTTTTGGACCACAACCATAAACTTGAACTTTTGGTTGAGTTGGATTTTTGACAGCAATGTTACAGAACAACTGTATTAGGAGCTTAGGAGCCGGTAAGGTTCAACCTTTTTTTTGTGTTGAGTAATGTTGTTTTGACGGGTCATCCCCAAATGACATTTTTAATGTGAAATTTTCACTAAATAATAATAAAATAGATATTTTTCTTAATGTAATACTTAAAAAATTTTATTCCATAAATAGTATTTGAATAATGTCCGGTTACGGGAACAATATCCAGTAGCGGTAGACATTTACTTTGAATAATGTCTTGTGGCGGTGACATTAAAGAATGGTACCACAATGAGAAATTAAAATATATGATACTACATTAGAAAACACATAATGTTTAATATACTGCATAGGTAAATTCCCAATTTTTAGTTTCACATGATAGATTTGTAGGCAAAGTAATTTTTATATGGAATGACCTGTTTGGTTGGAAGGGAGTGATGGAGAAGGAAAAAATAGGAGGAATGGAAAAAATGGGAGGAATTTCCTTCAAGAAATCTCTTTGGATAGAAGTAAAAAAGTATGAAAATATCAAAATAGAAGTTCTAAGTCTTTTAAAACTAAAATAGAAGTACAATGGCAGTGTGATGTAAGAGTACGCGTTGGCTGTGATAGAAAAGTGATGACAGTGTAATATGTAAGTGTGATCAGTCAACTGTCGGTGATCCGCGCGGTGACACTTGGTGGTCGGCTGTGACGGATGACAATGTGACGATCATAGTGTGTCATTTACAATGTGGTGAGTGTGACAGTGTAACAATGACAGTGTGAACTCATATGTTGGTTTTAAAAGTTTTATGAGTTCTATTTTTGTATTTTCATAATTTTTTTCTCCTATCTAGAGAGTTCTTCCATTTCCTTCACCTTGTTTGATTCGGAAAGGGGGAGAAAAGTATTAATTTTTATTTGTTTATTTTTATAATTTTTACTTTTCAATTTTAATGTTTATTATTTCTTTCAAGTATTTTTTTTGTTTTATTAATAGCATTTATTTATTTATACTATAAACATTATCATTGTATTATTATTATATTACTATTACTATTATTATTACGAATATTATTATTTCTACTACTTCGTATTATTATTAATTTATATTTATTATATTTATTTTATGTATTATTATTATAAATTTTTATAAATGACAAGATGGAGATAAAATTGACGGAGTAACACGAAGAAACATTAAAGAGAATGAGAAACCATGTGATTAAGAGAGATTGATTAGGAGGAGAGGAAATGGATTTGAAGCTAAAACTCGAACTCCCTCCCGCATGTTTTCTTTAAACAAGGGTAAGAGAAGAGTTTCCCTCCCCTCTCATCCCCTCCCTTTCTTTCCAACCAAACACCTAAATCACTATGTTTGGTTCAAGGAATTTAAAAGGGAAAAGAAAAGAAAATAAAGTGGAAAATAAGTTTTTTTGTTTGATTAGAAAGAAAAAGTGGAAAGAAAAGAAAATGAGAAGACAAAATATATCAAGGGGAGGGAAAACCAAATTCCTCTCATTTTGGTGAGGAAAATGAGAGAAAACCATTTTCTTTTCTTTTCCTTCAAAATTTCTTGAACCAAACATTGTGTTAGAGATTCGTTGTGTTAAGAATTACAATGATTTGGATTTGAATCGTGTGGAATTTTACCCTCAATCAGTCAATCATACATTCATTCTTTATTTGTCTCCAGATCTATCTATCATTTATTACATACGGAGTATATCATATTCATTCATCATTTGTTAATGAAACAGGTGCAAAATGAATGAAATTAATAACAATGTGTTTATTACTAATATAATAATGACCCATTTCTTTTGACAACAAGAATGGGTGTCATATTATTGTGACCACAAAATCCTACAATGCTCTGTTCGAAAAATTGATGATACATACATCTCATAACCTCCTTCTACTCCCCCCCCCCCTCATCCTACCCTCCACCCCAGCAGCCCACCTGCCCTCCACCCAACACACCGGTCGGGTACAAATTAAAGTTACTTTAGCTAATCGGTGTTTTGGAGTGAGGAGGGGGGGCAGGAGGCTGCTGGGGTATGTGGGCATGATGGGGGGGGGGGGTTAGGGTGCAGGAACCATCAATTTTTTGAATGAAGTCTCGTAGACTCTTATTGTCATAATATGAATAGTAATTGGTATTTTACATGTTTAGAGCATCTCCAATGGCTATTATAAATTTTGATAGGGTATATTTTATTTTACACTGCAAAATATGTTTTAGCAATCCATTTTTTTATAGTTATTCCAACCATGTCTCTTAAATAATATATTTCTTTATATTTTATTATTTTTAAAATATTTATTTATGATGATATTTATATTTTTAAAATTTTAATTGTATATGTATTTCAAACTATACATATATTGAGTATTTTTCTTAAAAAAATTAAATATAATTGTACTCTAATAAATATATATATAAAAAATAAATTTATAAGATGTAAATAATATATAGTGTACTAATATAAGGTGGAACTTGTTTTTTACAATATAGTGTTAATTTTACACTACTCTTTGGAGTGGTAATTTTGCTAGTGTCTTGTATATAATGTATTTTTTTTTTACAATATACAATATCTGTTGGAGTTGCTCTTACCAAGTACATTGAAAATGCTCTCAGTCCTCAAGTGTCATGTATAATGTCTCACTTGCCGGCATGGGTAACTTAGTTGGTCAAGAACGTGAAATCTTGGACCGATAATCACGGATCGAGTCCCGCAAGCGACAGTGTGCGAGCTATCCAAAAATCTCATAAAGGGTGAGGAGGCTCCTTGTGTGCGGTGGGCACGGGTCTAACGTTCTTGACCGACCGAGTCACCATAATTTACCTCCTCCATCATCTATGTCGGGCCAAGGGGTGGGAGCGCTTGGGGTGGGCGATTCCACCATTGGGCCGATGTATAATGTCTCACTTTAAATATTAATAACAATTAGACAATGTGTGTTTTCACCTAGTCTTTGGGTCACCTTATTTTTTGCTTTGGTAACTAGTTTGAGTGCCTAAGTATGCTGGACTTGGTCTAGAATGATAATCCTAGTCTACTAATTTGCACTATCAATTATCAAATAGCATGTCATTAATTTATTGTACAACGACAACAATAATATTATAAAAATAGTACTCCGTAATAAAGAACAGTACTCTCTCCGTTCCAGAAAGAGAGAGACATATTGATTAAAATTATAAAAAAAGGAATAATTTTGTATTAATTTTCCAAAAATACTCTTGATGTAATGAATAAAAGTAGGGTGTGATGTCTAGATTATTATTAAAAGGTATGATGTAATAGGTAAAGTATGAAAAAGTAAGAGGTAGAAATTGTTTTTTAATAAAAATGAAAAAGAGATTACGGGACACCATTTTTTAAAATAACATAAAAATTTAAAATTTTATTTCATTTTATATAAACGGAAAGATACTCTCTTTTTGTTTGCTTTTGATTTTTTTATTTGAAAAAGTTTGCTTTTGAATTTGATTACAATGGACCACCCAATGGGCCACAAGAAGTACTCCCGTGACTCCATAGGCCTTGTAATTCGAGCCATTCTGTTTTTTTGTTTTTAAAGAATTCCCACTTGGAGCCCCGCAGCGGGTCAAATAATAATAATAATCCGTACTCCTGCCCTGTCAAAATATTGAATTTGTTTTTTTAGCAACGAAAAAAAAATTGGAAATCATATTCGGAGTATTCATTTTTTATATAGAAAAAAAAGTTTAACTATTTAATTAAAAGGTGCATAAAAGAGTCAAAAATCACATGTGAAGATTATTTTTTGGTAAGGCAGAAAGACCAAAGTAGGACTAAAACATTGAAAATATACCAAAATAGGATTTCCATGTTTTTATTCCCAAAATATAACTTACATTACCAAACATGGTCATATACATTACCAAAAAAGTATAGTAATTTGCACATGTATACTGTCACATTACCACAATGCAAAGTCACATTACCACAGTGCAAAGTCCTATTCCGGGAAAAACATGAAAGTCTTATTTTAATACTTTTCTCTATGTTTTAGTCTTATTTAGGATGATTTCTATTTTGGTAATCGGGATTTTCCATGGAGTGAAATTGTACTCACTACTAGACAGCAACCGGGTCAATCGGTTTCATTCTGGTTTCGATTTCAGGTGTGATTCGGTTTGGTTTTTTCTGGTTTTGATTCGATTAGATATTGATTCAGGTTTATAGCGGTTCTAGTTTATATCAATTTAAGTTTATACCAGTTTCGGATGAGAACTGATCTCATTGGTATTAGGGTTCCTAATGTTAGTCTTGGGTGTAACATCCTCTCTATGTGTAAGGGGGTATATATACAAGTGTCACTAATAATGGATAGTATATTCATCAATGTGTGTTACAATAATGTCGCTATAAATTATATATACTCTGTATAAAATAGACAATCATCTTAGTCTAAGTGATAAAATACTAAGTAAAAGATTTGTATATAAAGTAGTTATAGATTGATAATTCAAATATACTTTTCTTAGAAAGACATCAACTAATGAGCTATTAGGTTTAACTAGATTCGAGTTTAAATGGTTTTGAATTTCATCAATATCGATTCTAATCAGTTTTGGATCTAATCGATTTCGGGTTTAATAAGTTTCGAGTTTAATCAGTTCCGAGTTTAATCGGTTTCGCTTTTGATCGATTTGGATTCAATCAAATTCGTATCTGAATCAGGTCTGAATACATTCAGTTCAGGAAACTAGATCAAACTTGAATTTAGGTCAACAAGGTTATGAAACCAGATCAAAAAACTAACTCAATCAAAAACTAAAGCTTTTGAATTGTATACATAGAAGGACATAAGAGAGACAGAAATAATTATCGGCACTAGGATTAAGCATAGAAACATAGGGATATCTATTATACACTGTCACCACAATGAAGAAGTCTTCAAGCAATATAATTGTGAAAATTATTCTCCGCCAGTGGACGTTGTGCAGTTGGCAAGGCAAGGAGTGTCAAGGGAATAAGACGTGAGTTTGATTTCTAGCAATTGCACTAGGAGGCAACTATAGTATAGAGCATCTGCAAATATCAGGTGTAGGCTCTACTCATTGCCACCAATATGCAATTAAAGTCCTATTTATCTTCTTTCAATGATCGTTCGCCGGGTCTGAGGGGACCCTCGAGGATGGGGCTCATCCTTTTTGTGGAAATTATTCTCCTCTTAGCACTTCTTAGATACTAACATAAAGTTCATGCCTAACAAGGGTAAAGTTGTATCAAGCTAGACTCAAGGGCTAGTGAGTAGTGACTATTCAATGTATGTATTAGCCTTGATGTGCAAAATTTTGTGTTTTAATGTTAATAAACAACATATGAGTTAATTAACGTTGAGGAACGACAATAATACATTAAGTATCAAATCTCAAAACTGAAGTCGAATAACCAAGCTAACATAGAATATAAGAGCACGGGCAATGGCAAGACAAAAAATGGAATGCAACACGTTGACGTGTAACATTTCAACCAATAGAAAACAGTTCAGTCATCGTGTGGCAAGAGCATGCAGTGACATGCATTGCAGTGGCAAGTCATTATCTTTGTCACTTTTTTACATTTTTATGTATTTAATTATTAATAATTATTTTATTTAATATTTTTATAAAAATAATTCTACTTTATTTATACTCTCTCCATTCCCAAAAATGTTATAGTTACTATTTTAGATTTTTGATAACATTTTTTGTGCTTCCCTTTTTCATGGTATATTTAATAAAATAAATTATTTTTATCGCTTCTTGTTTTGTAAGATTTTTGAAATGGTGAAAAGTTCAATTAAAAAAATTATTATTATTGTTGCATTGGCCGAATGGAGTATAAAATAATTATTATTGTTGTTGCATTAGAGATCCATTTTGATTTATTCCATCACACCCCAAAGCCAAAAAATAGTGAAATTTTGGCTCCATCAGAGATGATGAAAAACAACTTGTAAAAGATCATCTCTTTTAAATTGTTATTATTTGCAAATTGACAAGAAAATATAGAGTGTAAATTATATATTTTATCCAAAGTTTTATAAAACAATTGTTAAAATAAATATTTTATTTTACCAATTGAACCATAAAAAAAATATACACAAACAAAAGTTATTTTAACGCCAAAATATACCAATTTTTAGGTATAATGCCTTCAAAAAAGTTTCTTTCTATTTGTCAAAATAAATCAAGAAAAAGAAAAAGGAAAAAAAAAGTAATAGTGTGCCTCACATATGCTATGGAAAGGCAAAAGTACGAGGTGGAAGGGCGTGGGAGGCAAATGCCTCGCCACTGCCATTGCTCTAAGTAGAAAGGAATGTAAAAATGTGAATTTATATGCCTATATTCATGAGCTCAAATATACTCATAAAATCTGTTTAAAATCTTCTTTCAATCATTTTCAAACATACAAGAGGTTACTGTTACCAGGACTTTACTGCCAATCGTGACTCAATACCATTAGTGTGTCAAGAGAACATACCATATCGTTTTGGCCTATATATGATGGTATTGTTCAGTATCGTGACCGGAACCTCACTACACTTACCAGAATTGCACTATTGTATGGCGATACCGACTGCTACCGTGTTCAGTGTTCAGAATAATCTAAAGTTGATTTCCTTTTTAATCACCTAGATTACCTCAAATTAGCCTCTATTGACCTCCAACTCATACTTTAGCTTCTCCACTATAAATGTAGAAATATTATTAGAACTGAGTTGAATTTGATGGTTTCGTTGATCACAAACACCTTATTTATACAAGCATAACTCTAACCTAATCACGAGCCCACTAACACGCACAATGATACGAGGACCTAATTACATCCGCTAATCCTCCCCCTCAAGTTGAGCATGTGGCTAACGAATGCACAACTTGGACAATTTTGACTAAACAAGAAACAACTCGTTAAACAACTTTGGATAAAACTTTAAACTTTATTTGCTGTGACAACAACGTATGAAGGTACCTGACCAAGCAAACAAACAACCAAAATTGATGATGTATGACTCCCACCCGGGACGGCTAACAAGCGTCTCAAAACCTGGACTGAGTGTTGTCGGACTGAGGTTCAATTCGACAACCAACCCGGTAAACTGACATGCCGTAGATACTAGTAACCAACCAATTTTGTGATTGCACGAACACCAACCACCAAAAGAACAAAACTTTGCAGCCACACTTGTGCATGGGACCAAAAAGAACTAGATGGAGGAACGACGGAGCTACGGACAGAAGAAACTCCTAATATCAAAAAATAATGGATTTGAAGACTCCACTTGAGGAACCACACGATTGAAAACACTTGGGATTCCTCTTAGATCATGTTGCAAATAAAGAAGTTTTTCAAAATTTATAATTTATCTGATATTCTTACTTTAAAATAATTAAAAATTTTTATATCCCATTATATATCAATTCGGGCCTGTTAGGGAATAGCGTTTGAGATTAGTGTTAGCGTTTTGAAAAGGTATCTACGGCCAACGTTTAACGTTAGCATTTTTAAACTAATATAACCCGTTAAAATTTTATCTAAAACGCTAACGTCAATCTCTAACGTTATTCCCAAACACACCCTTTGGATTCGTTTGGCATCAGGGTTACAGGTTAGCGTTAGCATTTTGAAAAAAACATCCGATGGTAGCCTTTAGCGTTAGTGTTTTCAAAATTAATCTATACCATTAAAATTTTATCCAAAACGCTAACGCTAATCGAAAACGTTGTTCCGGAATCCGTTATTTTAATTAAAAAGTGTTATCTCCATTTACAAATTATTCATGAAAGTAATGAAACCATTTCTTATATATATACCCAAATCCGAAATATTCCAATAACGATAGTATCTCACATTTTTTTAAAGAGCATTTTTCTCTTCCTATTTGTGGAGAGTGCAAATTTAGCACAGGATTATGAAGTGTTAAAAGACACAACTTATTGCATGAAATTGTGAGATTAAATACTTTAGTCTAATTTGATCAACGGCATTAAGCATTATTAAACCATGAGCTGGTCATATATCAGACCCACGGATTCGGAAAGAGGAAAGGAATCATATATTTGCAACTCTGAGTTCACATGCATCCATAACAAAATCGTTTTCATCTTTTGAAAGTGGTTCCAGCTAATTAAACAAACAATTATCACATAATTAGTAAGGAGTATTAATAATCTATTTACCGTCAAGTCTGACACCATCCATTTCAGAGATATCAGACAGGGATAGGTTTGGTTTTGACGGTTCGATTTTCACCTAAAACCAAAGACAAAACGGAAGGTAAGTTGGCGATTCGGTTCAATTTTACTGTTGGTTATTCGGTTCAGTTTTATGCGGTTTTATTTCGGTTTTTAAAAATAAAATTTACAAGCATTAAAAAGTAGTAAAAACACTAATCTGATGAAACAATAACATGTAGGGTTGAGTTTGGTTTTTTCGCTATGATTTTTACATATAACCAAAAACAGAACGGAAGGTCAGAATTCAATTTGATTCAATTTTACATAAAAAAAAATGTGTCGAGTGCCGAACTAACATTTAAGAGCTTCCAAATACTAGAAAAACTTTCGTATGTAATATCAATTACAGAGAATTTACGTCTTTGGTATAATACTTTCATTTCTACTATAGCATCAAAGTTTTCTCATGTAAATATATAAATTACTTGTATTGATTGTTAATGTTAATATAATTCCAAGAAGCACTAGTGCCCTCTAATTGAAGGGCAGTTATCACATACTCTCTTTCAATTAATATCACTATCTATTCCTATTAATTGTTAACTATTACATCATACATATAATAATTATCAATCACATTTTATTCTCAAACCATAAAATAAAAGTAAAATGAAAAAGTAACACTCAAGTTGTACTTACTTTAAATACCAATTTGAACTTTCTCACATGATAATATATTGTTCAATTTGTAATAATACTTAAATCATATTTACTCCAATCCCTCCATCACAAAAGGCTCTTAATTTGGTTTGACACAAAGTTTTAAAAAAAGAAAATGAAAAATAAAGAGTATTATTTTTGGAATAAAGGTGATAAATCATTAGAATTTTAAAAACCCCAAATTAAAACTTAATGATTACTTAATGAAAAGTTGTTTAAGAAAGAATGATAGTAATATGCTTCTATATAAGTACTCCACCTTCCCCATAATCTCCTCACTCTCACTCCCCTCCAAAATCCTCTCTTTTTTTCATTGAGTTATATATTATATAATCTCTTTTCTTAATTACAATCTCCTCATTAATTAGCAAAGGGTCATTAATGGCTTCCAATCAAATCTCCCATCCCTTATTAGCACTAATCCTTGTGATCAATATTCTCTTCTTCACAGTGGTTAGTGCGTGTGAGACTTGCGGCCCTAAACCACCGCCCCCAAATTACCCAAAGACACCATGCCCACCTTCTTCCAAATTAGGCAAGTGCCCTAAAGATGCCCTAAAGTTGGGTGTTTGTGCAAATGTGCTTCATGACTTGCTTCATCTTGCGCTTGGTGTCCCTCCCAAGAAGCACTGCTGCCCTCTAATTGAAGGGCTTGTGGACCTTGAGGCTGCTGCTTGCCTTTGCACTGCCATTAAGGCTAATGTTCTCGGGATTAATCTAAACGTCCCGGTTTCCCTCACCCTTCTCCTAAACTTCTGCGGCAAGAAGGTTCCATCTGGCTTTCAGTGTTATTAATCGTGTCAAAGAATCAACTCAGCCAAAAACTGAACTTTTGTGTTAAATTCAGGCCATCACTCCATGCATGTGTGGTTTTCTTTTTGTTTTCTTTTTTCTCTTTTCTTTATTGCAATGCTCTTTCAACTATTTGGTGTTGTCACTTTAGATATGAAAATGTTCTTGTGTTTTGCTTTGAGGTGCTATATATAATTACTAATGGATGTGTGCAATACAATTTCATCTACAATATGTGGGTTTCTTTAGGAATAGCGTTAAAGGTTAGCGCGCGTTAGCGTTTTGAAAATGCTATGGATATCATTTTCAAAATTAATTTGTACCGTTAAAATTATATCTAAAACGCTAACGCTAATAAAAACGCCATACCGAAACGGGCCCGTGGTGTATTATAAGAGAAGTGATAGAATTTAGTTCGAGATAGGGATTACTAGAAAAGTGTAATAAAACACTTGGACTGAACCATATTAAAATATTAAATCCAGTCAATTACTTAATACAACTTGATATCTTATAAACCCGTTATTTTTTTGTTCAACTTCCGATGTAGGGGTACTCTAATACTCCCTTCAAATGTCTGAGACGAACAATTGGGTTAAATAGGTCACAAGCCGTTGTTCATACGGATAATTGGGTTAAAGATTCACGCGCCCCTAGAAATGAATGTCTAGACATACACCTTGACAAAAGAAGTGGGCCAAAACTTGTTCTGATACCATGATAAAGTTTTGTATAATCTCAGGGGTCATAAGACACTTGAATTGAACTACATTAAAAGATTGAATCCAATCAATTATTTAATTCAACAGAAGAGCTTATAAGCCTACCTGTATTATTTTTCTGTTCAACTTTGGATGTGGGATAATCTAACAAGAAATAGAGTCTATCTCACATTATTCATGTAGTTTAACTTTTTTGAGTCAAATTAAATAAATTTTAATTATCAATTAAATAAAAATTGTGATGAATATTAATACAATTATATGGAGTGTTTATCATGCATAAAGTTTACAACAAAAATTGTTTCATTATTTTTTGGCAAACAATTTGTTTCATCATATTCATATGTAATACACAATAATTTTTAATTAATTGTAGAAAGCTTGTTTCATTCCATTGTACTTGGTGTTTTATCTGTATTATACTGTGATTCCTATCATATTTTTTGTGCCGGTAGAGCCGGGGGTCTCTTGGAAACAGCCTCCCTACTTCCGAGTAGGGGCAAAGTCTGCGTACACACACCCTCCCCAGACCCTACTGTAGTGGGATTCAACTGGGTTGTTGTTGTTGAGTTTGACTGAAAATTAAACTGAACAATCTGGCTTAAAATTAATTTTTGAGTCATTAAATGCGTCCTTTTTATTAATCTAACTCCTATGTCCACTTCTTATTTAAAATATCACGCAATCTGCAAATAATCTAACCTTGCACTCAAAAAAAAAAAACTTACCTTTCTAAAAATTATGTCCTAATGTTAATAGTTTTTTTTTGAGAAAAATACTTTAGACAACAAAATAATGACCAAAATATGGCATTTACCGTAACTTTTCAATTGTTTTTTTTGTATCTAATACTTTTTTTTTTGTTTTAGACTCGACTCTAAATCACCATTGACCCCTATAGTACTCGATAGAGAACATGGAAGCCCAACCAATTTAGCCACGTAAATATTCTTTTATTTCCATTTCTCAAATTAAATGTCCATTTTAACTTCATTTGTTTAAAAAATGTTAAATAATAGAATTAAAATTTATACCCTTCATCCCAAATTTATCGTCACAGTTACTATCCAGACTCTTGATAACTTCTGTTTGTCTACATATTTTCGTTAACTTCTGTTTGTCTACATCTTGTTTTATAAAACTTTTGATGTTTTGAAATATGTAATTTTATTTTTAATTAATGTACTAATGTGCAAATAAAATAATTTTAAAAGAGATAAATTTCACACGCTATTCAAAGTGAGACTAATTCTAAGACAGAGGGAGTATTTAAAAATAGAGAATTATTTAAAAAAGGACATCGGATACCCATACGAATTATGATCTCTTTGTAATATCCATCGAGTAGGCCACTGCAAATGGACCGAACAGCCTGAATGCCGACCATGGACTGACCGTTGCTCCGAATCGGTTTACCAAACTTAATACATTGGATGGAATGTTTCACTGGACTGTTTCGTGGTCGAAGACCCCATGGATAGTAAATGGGTTTACGGGTGACCATTATACGGTATTTTAGAATCCAAGAAGTTTACTCTTAATTCCAAAGGGGGACTTATTTCATCATCCCAATAGCACATTTATAATGACTATTATTCACATAAAACCATAAAACATAGTTATCAAATAAGACATGTTGCTAAGACCACCCACCAGGTAGTGTACATAATGCAACTATACACAGATACTTGTATTTGCTATACATGAATAACAGTTACCATAATGCATGCTTCGTTTGCTTTACGGCGTTTTGGCTCAAAGTGCCAAAATTTTTCGAAGGTGGGAAACTTCTTTCATCAGCATTATGGCCACCAAAATGCTAACGCGCCCCTTATGGTGGTAGGTATATAGTTAAATGACAAGAAACCCTGCGTTTTCGTTATGGCTAGACCGAGATACGGTCATCTCCAAATGTGTTCTCTCCACTATAGGTGACATAGAGGAAACCATCTTTGTCCTTCTTATCATCATAAATAGCGGACATGATCCCCCCTGCAGATAGAGAGGAATATGCCAATATGGTCATGTTTCAATTGCTTCTTCAATGGCATGGCATTATAGAGAGGGAGTGTTAGTGTGGAACGTTTGCAAGTATTTGGGCGTACCTGTTGGTGGAAGAACATTGTCAACAAATATGAATATTGCTTTCTCGGCACTCAGTTTGATCCTTTTGCGAATTACATAGACAAATTGTCCAACTGTCAAGTCAGCTGGGACAAGATACCTGTAGATTTTATCCGTCACAAAACTGAGAATCTCTAGAGTCTCAACCCTCAAAAGAAAAAACAGCATGCCAGAGAAAAAGAGAGAAGATGGGGCGCTATTTGTGCTCCATCCATTCTCAAATAACTATACATTAATGCAAAATTTGGATAAGGTATCATTTTGTGCAATGCCAATGGAACTATAAGAGTCGTGTTTTACAATGTTTTTGGTTTGATTAGGAGGTCGGTGGGGGGGGAGTGAAGGGATAGAAGGGGATGGATAGGAGAGAAAGGCAAGGGATGAAAGAGGGAAGAACAGAATGATTCTGTATTTGGTTCAAAAGAAGAGATGGGAGGTAATGACTTTATTATACCCTTAAATTAGTACTTTTTTGCTTGAGTTGGGGGTCTCTTGGTAACCGTCTCTCTACTTTTGAGACAGGGTAAGGTCATCGTACATACACCCTCCCGAGACTCTGCCCTTTGAGGGATTTCACAGGATTTGTTATTATTGTAATAGTCCTTTTTTAATATCATACCCTTTGAGGGGCATGGATGAGAATATAATAAAATTGATGAGATAAATTAGCAACAAAGCCAACAATTACTGGTTTCCATCCTAAAAACCCTGATTTGAGGGAACCAAAATGAGGGGAGGGGAAAGAATGTTTTTTTTGGGGGGGAGGGGGGGGCGGGTAGGGGATTTTGTATCTCTTCCCATCCACAGTCTTAGATCAAACAAGGGGAGGTGCTCACTCTCCCTCCCCTTCCCCCGAACCAAAGAGAACCTAAATTTTATTGTAAATGTTAATCTGTGGTACCAGTGTATAAAAGAAATTGAGAAATGCTCAATACGCCCTAGGGAGTCATTTTTTGGCCTGCACCAACTCCACTACCACATCGACCTCTCATCTATCATATTCAAATCCTAGTTCGATCTCGCCAGCCAGTGGACAAATTTCAAATGGATCGGGATGACAAACAAATTACTCCCAAGGACATATCAGGCATTTTACAATTATTTTTAATATGAACATCGGTTTTCACGTTACAGTATTTACAATTAAATTTAAGTGTATTCGATGTGATTTTACAAATATAAGGACATTGAAGTTCTTATTCAAAAAATTCTGGTCACCTCGGAGTAAAAATTGTTAAAATTCCCTTGCTTCTTACTTAAAATTCCTATCAGTTCATATCCTTAAAGAGGATCAAAACTGCCCAGTCCAACCTCAACTGTCACACGATGCATTTAGTTAATAGTCTCTCCGTCCCAAAAAACTTTGACCACTTTCTATTTTGGCCGTCCTAAAAACACTTCACTTTATATTTCCCTTTTTAGTAAATAACATGTAGCTCCCAAGATTTTTCTCTCAAATAAACAAATTCTAACCATACACTTTTCACTTTTCAACTACTTGAGTCGGGGGATCTTGGAAACGGTCTCCCTGCTTTCGAGTAGGGGTAAGATCTGCGTACACACCCTCCCCAAAACCCTACTCACGTCGGATCAAATTGTGTTGTTGTTGTACACTTTTCACTTTTCAACAATTTTCTTGAACTCCGCAAATGTCAAACCGATCAAAGATTTTAGGGACAAAAGGGGTATAATGTTACTCCTTCCGTCAAGTTGGTTCTTCCAATAGACAATTTACAAGGTCAAACTTTATTCACTTTGTTTTATTATTTTTACTACTCATTTCATAATAGAATTTGTTTTGTAGAACTTTTAATCCACTTTTTACATATTCAATACTCTCCTATAAGAAAATAGGGAGTAATTCTCAATGTATTTAAGTATTGCTCATATATGCAACATTTATATATATTTTTGCACAGAAAGAGTTCTAAGCATTAATTCCCTTAAATCATGACAATATACTACACCACAGTCTACATCAGAAATCAGAGTTCTTTTCTCTTGACTATAATTTTCAGTTTACACATTAGTCTCACTAGATGTACAATTGTCAAAGAATACCAAAACAACTTAGCTTCTTCACATTCTTCGTGAAGAGGGGGGAAGGATCTTTTTGCATTTATAATGGTTTTTAGAAATGAGGGGGAGAGGGTAAATTACGAAAAGTAAACCTTACTTTTTCTTGTCGATGTTAGGAATATCACTTCTTTCTGCTTTCTCAACGATCACCTACGGATCCACAACAACATATTCACATCCAAATTCAAATAAACTTATATTTGCTGCTGAACAGTTGCTTTATTTTCACAGCAAAAGAAACACAAAAGCTTGGGATACCATGAAATTACAAGAATCCGTCCAGACATCAGATAATATAGCTTCCTCTTTTTGTCATTTTTATCGGTGCAAATGTAATCGCAGTTCGTGAAGCTTGCATTACACACTGATAATCATAAACTTTATGCTTTCTTTGGATTTAAAAAAATTTTAGTAAGGTTAAAAATGTAAATGAAAGCGGGTCCCACAAATTTCCCCAACAGATCACTCCCCCATGAAGAGAATTTTTTGTGCACCTCAACTTTTCTCTATTCTACTATTTCCTAAGCAAACAATTTTGTTTTCTCTCCCGCTTCTCTCCCACACTTCTTTCCAAAATCACACCAAACAAACAATGGGTTAGCATGTATAGACAGACATAGGCATGTACATGTCCACCTCTGATGACATCTTTCTCTTATTTATCACCTTCACAAGCCATATTTCTTATTAAACACCAATTTCTCCGATTATGTTCCAATGAATTGATTAAAAATATAAAAAGGTTGTGCAAAGAGGTTCTTTTTTGCTAAAGTTACTGAATGTATGAAAATGACACTTCACTACTTAGTTTAAGATATCATTTTATATAATTTATTAAGAGTATACATTTTTCAACTTTTTTGCACCGCATATCCGTCACAATTTCAACATGTTTTGTAACGTCAGCCAAGTTTACCCTTTTGAACAAACTGTTAGATTAAATTAACAACAGAAAGGAAGTCTTGAACTCCACAAGTGGCAAGCAAATTGCAGCCACGTTCAACTCAACTGATCATTAAGCTATATCCAAACATTTAAAGAGGCTCTTTTGAGACATTCATATGAACAAATGAACCAAAAGCAATTGCATAACATGAAGCAGGGGATCCAATTAGAAAGCAACAGTTCAATTGCAGTGAATCGTGAAGAAGATGAACTCTCACCGGAATCCTATCTGGGTATTTTTCCCTGATCCTAGCTGCCTCAGCACACCTCTTCACTGAAATAGTCAAACCCACAATACTCAAAACTTCAATTTAACAACAACAACAACAAAGAACCTCAAACTTCCATTCCAACAATACAAATTGATTTGGTGCAAAAACAAAAAGGAGGTACAAACCAAGATCATGCTCTTGCTTAAATGAAGTCCTTGCCATCCCTCCTAAAAACAACAACCCAAAATATATTTAAAACTCTTACTCGGTTATTCAGTTTCACATACCAGCACCTTCTTACGTAATGCTACATCGACTGAATACAAACAGAAATGGTAAACTCTTGTAAAACTCGGACCATCTCACACAAGCTTATATGAGAAGGTCCAGTGTGAATCTTAGGTCAAAGCACTCAACATAAATATAAGGCATTGGACTACCCCTAGTGTAAGGTCGACTTTTAGAACAGATAACAAAGTCTTAATAACAAAGTTCATTAAGCTCAAAGGAACAATTTGATCCTGGTAAAGCTAAACAATGAACACACATACATCAAATTTGATGTTGATACACAGCGTCAATCAGTTCAATTGTAAAACCAGAAGCAATAATTTCTTAAACACTCCAAAATCAATCCTCCATGAAGTTTAACCTAAATACCATTAACTGAACAAAACAATTACTCGTAATTATATATTTGAAAATAAAAAAGGAGCAGTACCATTACAAAATTTCTAAATCACAGTAAAGCTAAAGCTTTTCATTGTCTATAACTATAAAGTATACGCAGCCAACGGAAAATAAACCGTCATCATCAATATTACGACACCGTCTACACGACGACGGAGAACAATGATCGGCCGGAAAGAGGAAACGATACCGACCTGAAACGGTTTACAGGGCCTTGGGGCTGATTGGATTGAAATTGAATGGTTGGTTTTTGTTTTCTTGTACTCCCTAAATACAGCGTGTAATTAATGGGCCAATCTTTTGATTTTTTTTATCATTATCCCTTCTTTTCTTAGTTTCTTTTTTACAAATTTCAGTAATAATATCTGAACTTTTACGAAGATTGCAAAAACCTTTTAAAAAAATACTTCAATTTATGGGAATTGATATCTCAGCTCCACTATTTGATAAGGGCACTCCACCCTTCTAATATTTCAAAAACTTGGACAATTATACCCTTTTATTCAGAGTACCAAGGAGTAGTGTTTATAAATGAAATAATCTATATATAATTACTTGCTATAAAAAAATAATACAAAGCAACATACAATATATTTTTATTGAGCGAGATTATCTTAAATAAACGATATGATGTGATTTCTCTTTTTTGCTTGTTTAGTGACAAAATAAAAATATTTTTTTCAATTAAATTAATATTCTCAAATGCACTACTTTTATGATGTGTATACTTTATCAAAAAAGAAAAAAAATGGTGTGTATACTCAAAGTGTGTAAAGAAGTGAATGTATGAAATGGTAGATGTATAACTTGTAAATATGTATGGAAAATATAAAATGTCATGAAAATCCAAATTTAAATTTTACGGCATCTCAATATTTTGAGATGGTCAATTTTTCCACTATTCACATCGTTGATTTTTTCTCGTTTTTTCACTTATTTTTGTTAGTCTTTTGATAAAATAATATACTCATGTCACCAATTGTTTTGTAAAATATTTAATGTAGTTTTAAATATGTTATTTTATCCCAAATGTTTATAAATTAAAAGAAAAATAATTTCACAAATCATATAGTAAAATGGGACGGAAGAAGTATTGTTTTTTGGAAAATTAGTTAGTCACATAAAAAACTTAAAGAAAAAAAATGGGACAGGGGGGAGTAGTGTAGTGCAACATAAAATTAAAAAAGAGACAAAAATTAGAATAAATGAAGGATAATAAATTTTAATAAAACTTTTAATTTTTCTCAATATTTTCAACTCATTGAAGTTTTTTCCAACTCTTCAAATTTCTATCAGGGTCCATTTAGTACACAGAATTAACAAATTTGAAATTGGATTGGAAATTGAAATTCAATGGAATTGATTTGGATGAATTGAATTCTCCCATTCTTATTCATTTTTGCCACTATCAATTCCAGATCCACTTATTTTTGTGCTACAAAATTGCATAATTGAAATTGTGACCCTCAATTTCAATTTTATAGTTCAAATTCCGTAAACCAAATGAAGCATATCAATGTCTTTTAATATTTCTAATTCTTTTCAAATTTTCCATTATCTTTTTTTTTTTTGCAATTCAAAAGAACAAGATCTTATTATTGGTTTTGGTTGGAACATTCGGTACTTTGTAAGGGGTTTACAAATTACAACTAATAAGAGGAAGAAAATTACTAATACTACCTCCAGTTTTAACTTTTTTCGGTTAACTGTTTTCAACTTTTGACCTATAATTAAATAAAATATATACTGTATATTAATTAGATAAAATAACATTTTAAAAATATTTGATATAATAAATTTAATAAAACTATTTTTGTATCAATATCTAGTACTCCCTCCGTCCTAAAACTTTCTTCCCGTTGCGCAAAACGAAGAAAAATCTCAAGTTTTTTCAATCTATTTTATTTAAATATTGGTATAGAAATAAAAAATAAAACATACATATTTAAAAACTACATCAAAAGTTCAACAAAACAAGTGGTGACAAGAATATTTTATTTTATCATATAGGCCATGAAAAAACACAAATAAATATAAATTCACGTGAAGTTGGAATAGTGCTCTGCGAATAAAGTTTTAGGACGGAGGAAGCATCATTTTTATTTAATTTGAGATCAAAGTTTATCGATTTTGACCTAAAAAATAAAAAATGGACAAACAAGTCTGGGATAGAGGGAGTAGGAAATACGTAGTATACTAAATCAACTAAGAGGGGCATAATTGTCTTTGTTTGAGAAAAAATTAAAATGGTGGAGCGCCGGTAAGCCCGTTAGTAAGTGATGTAGTGCATATATCAATTTCCCAATTTATATATTCCTTTCACTTAGGGGCAGTTTGGCAACTTCTAAATAGGTAAGTGCTGAACTAGTAAGAGGTTTGAACCATTAAGTGCTGAATTAGCAAGAAGTCTGAACCATTAAGAGCTAGTATATTGCTTAACTATTCAGAGGCAAATGTCTGATCAATTCAGATAAGAAGTCTTAACCATTCAGACTTTGTATATCTCTTAACCATTCAGACATCTGAACCATTAAGAGACTGAAACAAACCGTCTGAACCATTAAGAGCTGAACCATTCAGACATTTGAACCATTAAAAGTCCATTCACCGGTTTCTGGGTTAATTACCGGTTATAATCCGACATGGAATGCTGATTAGACGCCAAATCAGTTACCATGACTGAAACTTAATCAAAATAAAAATAATAAACATAACCTACAGGATATATATGTGCTCCGTTCCCTTCTTCGAGGATTGCGCCGGCAATTTTGATTCTTCATCTTCTTCAATATATAAACGACGGCACAATCAACCGGCGGTAATGATGATTGGCGGCAATCGGCGATGGGAGCGATGACCAAAAAAAAGGTTGTTCAATGTGAAGAAGAAGAAGAAATTGGTAAATTTGAAATTGATAGTACCAAAAAATGAATCAAAATTGATAGTGCCAATTTTTTGAACAAACTTTTGTAGAGGTCTTAATTGACGCCCCGGTAATAATATGACATTTTGGTTCAATAATACATGAATCCATCCATTTTTTTATTATTGGGGGTTTCTTTGTGCTCGTAATTATTGGCTTATTACTAACAAATAGTTTTTTAAAATTGTTTATTAGTTAGATGTCATTTCATTAAAGTAAAAATAACTTAAATGATAGGTTAGTTGCTTGAAAATATTCATAAATGATAGGCATTAGTGGGTAACCGTTTCGTAAATAATTGGTCAAAATGGAGGAATAAATAAGTTGACTTAAAAATAAATATCTAAGACTTACTTATTTTTCCTAACTTATAAGAAATTTATAAGTCAGCGTATAAGCACACAGCAACATGACATTAGCAAATTTATAAATTAAAAACTCTTTATAAACAGTTTTGACCGGCTTATAAAAATAGTGAAACGCATGTTATCTTTGACCTCATTTGTCATTTGATATCAATTCGGGGTTGGTTAATAAAAAAATCAATATAAGGTCAAATAACATTTTCTCCACTTCTTTAAGCAGTTTTTCTTTTATTTTTTGTTTTCCCTATAACATTTCCATATTCTGTTAGAAAACCTATTTTTATCCTTATTTTTTATTATCCATCTATCACATCATGCTCTTTTACTAATAATTTATCCATTATATTATATACACTCTTTATTTCTTCTAAAAATCAAAATAGGAATGGTTTTATGAAAAAGAGAATAGTATTATTAGATGTGCAGCATGCTTAAAAACAAAACGATTAAGCTATTTGCACAACAAGATTTGTACTCTAATTTGTACACCGTAAATATGTACTTTCATTTTGTATCAGTGCAATGCTACGGTGTTAGTTCTCACAAATATAAAATATTAGTACAAATTTTGTAGACGCAAATAAGGATCCAGGCTGGATCTGGGCCGGGCTTAATATAAATTATTAGCCCATTTACATGGCTGGGCCTGGCCCGGCCCGTATTTGATGGGCTAAATTCTTTACCCATACCCGCCCATCTTTGCGGGCCGGACTGCCCACTGGGCCGCCCGGCCCGGATAAAACATCAAGAAAATTTATTTTATACAAAAAATTTAAAAAAAAAACATTGAACTCTTTTTAATGTTTAAAATAAAATAACTAGTCACCACATTTATATAGAAAGCATAATAGAGATATTGTTGCATAATTAATAAACTCATCATACTGATTCATTAAAAGAGTATTGATTTTTGTTTAAAAGAGGTGAGTGAATTAAACTATTATACATTAATTATAGGAAATTTTAAAATTTGTATTGTCTAAGTAATTAATAATAAAGTAAATATATTTGATAAATATGGGCGGGCCTGTTGGCCCAGATGAGCTAAAAGTAACTTCCAGATCCGCCATATACAATTCGGGCTTGTGCCGGACCGCTCATTTGGGTATTAAAGGTTGTCCATATCCGCCTTTTTTAACACGGGGTTTAGGGCCGACCCTTGTTTCCACAAGTCTAAAATTTTGGTATAATTTTGGATATACTCCCTCCGCCCGGTATTAAAGTTTACGTTTTGACTTTTGGTCATTTTTAAGGGAGGTTGATTAACCTTGTAAAATGACCAAAATACCCCCTTTCCCGTCTCCTCCTGACCCGACGGCTCAAAATCGGAAAACAGCCCATAGGCCGCCGCCGCGCTTCTGCCGCCCCTCCGCCTCCGGATCTTTGGCTCAAAATTGGAAAACCGCCGTCGAGGATGTCCCTCCTCAAATTGTTCCTCCCCCAAAACCGCCGTCCACTTCGGCTCAACCTGAGCCGACCCGGATTTGAGCCCGGTCGTTCGGCCCCTCTTGACCCGGCTCTCCACGACTCTCTTCCCCTATATGAGCACCAGGAACAGTCATCATCGTCCACCAGGGAAGCCGCAGCGTCTTGGCACCATCTCGTCCTCAATTGGTGGTGGGGGGGGAGAAAGAACAGCGGTCGGGAGAAAGAAAAGCAAGAAGAAGAAGAATAGGATGGAGGGGGAGAGAGAGGATTGAAAAGATAGATGGGGCGGATGGGAGAAAGAAAAAGAAGAAAAGAGGAAAAGGAAGAAGGGGAGGAAGGGGGGAGAGGGAGAGAAAAGATTGAAATGGAGAAGGGTATTTTTGGAAGAGTGTGGGTTAAAATTAGAAATGTAAACTTTATTTTCGGACGGAGAAAAAAGATAAACATAAACTTTATTTCCGGAGGTAGGAAGGGAGTACTTTTTTGCGTAAGTGTAGATGGTTTAAAATGGAAAGCAGGTCCAGGCCCTAAGATTCCTGTCGAGTTTGGACTCCGGTAGCTATCTTGATCAAGGGGTCAGCCGGGAACCCCAAATAAACCTTCATATACTCCTTCTCCACCAATTTCGAATTCCTCAAGCCCTAAAAGATATCCGGAATCTCTCGATAAGCTTCTTCTTTCCTTTTCATTCATTCACAGATCGGGGATTGCGATTTCCAGATGGGGATCATAAGGAGCTCTTTCAATTTCCTGTTCGGGACGGCGGTGGGGGTTTACATCGCCCAGAACTACAACGTCCCCGACCTCAACAAGTTCTACCGGACCGGCGTCGTCATCGCCAAGCAGTGGGAGGAGAATTACCGGAAGCCGAAGAAACCCGAAGGAGATCAGTAGTTAGTATGTGCCTTTTCTTTTTTTTCCCTGCGATTTTCGGTTTTTCCTGAGCCGATTGGCGGTGAGGAATTTGTTGGATCTCTTAGTGTTTCAAGTCACGAATGATATTATCAATGCAGATTGAAGGTTACTGAATCGTTTTCTTCTGTTTTTTTTTGATTTGGTAAAATTTATTTTCTCTGTTTGGGAAGACGAATCTGTGCTTGATCGTGGAGGAATTGATCCTTGTTTATGGTTTATTTTAGTGACTGAAGAAGAGTTATTTTTTGGTTCCTGTAAAATTGGGTATAAACCTTTTTATTTTGTAAATGATCTATAATTATCACTTATAATTTGTTGAGATAATACACTATTTTCGTAATTACCAACCTAGTATTTTGTCAAGGACCCTAGTCTAATGACACTATTGTAGTTCTCTCAAATGAGAGGTCACGTGTTTGATCCCTAATGGAAGCATAACTCTACGGATTTTAATAGGTTAAGTATATAATGAACATATATTATATTCTAATAGAATTATTAGTGTTTAAGAAATAATTTAGTATTCCCAAGTTGTGTCATTCGTCAAATTAAATCTTCAACTTTTAAATTTCAATCACGCGTTCATCTTTTTCTTTTTTTTAATGAGAGGTTCCATGGTGGACTTAAAGTTTCAGACCTTTTCACACAAAATAAATCATTATGTTGAGGTCGACTGAATTCAATAATATTATATAGAGACTAAGAAAAGTAAATCTATTTTACAAGGACCAAAACTATATTTACGGCTAGGTTCTGTGGTAATTAATATAATATCCAATTTTTATTTAATTATAAGTTAAAAGATAATCATTTTCATTGCATAAATCAAAATACAACACTCTCGTACTAAGGGAATATTTATTTGATGGAAGTATACTCTCTTTATCTAAGAAAAAAGTTCTTTGTTTGCCTTGATCGGAGTTTAAGAAAAGTGTTCAAAAATCATAATTTACTGTTTAGATGTAGTGACCCACACCCCTAAATGGACATGAAAAAAGCAAAGGTGATTTTGGATTGAAGTGCTATGTAAGAGTAATTCGAATGAAAAGGATATAATAGGTGATAAAAGGTTCTAACTATTACTTTTACCTTTTTTCTTAAAAATTAATCTCGAATTGAAGAGATATATGATAGGGTAAAATACAATCATCAATTTTGGAAGGATAAATATACTCTCATTAACATCAAAAGCTAAAACTAGGGACAAAGTTAGTTGAAAGTAGTAAGAAGCTTTGAAGAAAATTTAGATTGAAATTTTGTTTTATTTATTGTTTTTTAATAAAATTAAATACCCCTCCGTCCTAAAATTAATTTTCTCATTTTATTTTTCACGGTCTCCAATGCGACACTTTGACTATCAATATCTTAATTTTTATATAAATATATTTTATAAAAATTATATATTTCAAAACTATGTTTAAAACTGAATCTATTGCTAATAAATTTATATGAAAATTCAATGTATTTTTTCCATAATATACGGTCAAAGTTTAAAAAATTTTACTATAAAAGTCAAACTGAGAAGTTAATTTTAGGACAAAGAAAATAATAAATAATCACTTCAATATTTTTTAAAATATTTCCATCACTTAAATACAAACAAGTTTTATTTTCAACTTTATCTTTTTTTATTTACCTTTTTTCATAGAAATTGCACACTTTTTAGAAACATAAATTTCAATTTTTAAAAAGGTAAAAAGATATATGTCTCTCTTATCTATTTATTTTCATTGGAGTTGCAAACAAAATGTTCAATGATGCCCACCAAATAGCCGAAGTAAAAAAAAATTAAACAAAAAATATTCAATTTGTCCCAAATTGAATTAATGTTTGATTAATAAGTTCATTTTAAAAAGGCCATATAAATCCGGCGGGCTTCTTGTTTCTGGGATTCCTATAGAACTTCTGACGGATATCCGATCAATCGAAGCATGGGAGGCCACGGCGGTCTGAACATCCTCCCGCAGAAGCGATGGAACGTCTACAACTTCGACAACCGCGAGAAAGTCCGGCGCGACGAGGAGGCCGCCGCTCGGGAGGAGCAGCTCAAGCGCGATGATGCCCGCAAGCGCGATACCGAATTGCGGCTCGAGAAGCTCAGGCAAGCGCGTGGATTGGGATCCCCTTCCTCGAGCCACGCCCCCAAACCCCCTTCATCCGAATCGGAACCCGAAACGAGATCGGAGAAGGATTCGAACCACATCAATTTGTTCGAAGGGATCCGGATTTTCGATCCGGTTGAGGCTAAATCTGGATCTAAAGACCAGCGGCCTGTTAGGAAGGTGAAGAAGGAGCAGCCGCCCAGGGTCGTGACTGCGGAGGACGAGAAGTATAAACTGGGATATGGGATTGTTGGGAAAGGAACGAAATTGCCTTGGTACATGGAAAGGCGTACAAATAAATCTGATGAAAAGAGCGATGACGACGAGGAAGACGACTTGATGCCGGCTAAGAAGAAGAGCAATGGTAAGAAGACAGTGGAGGAGTTGCGTAAGGAGCGGCTCGAGAGGGAGAAACGAGAGAAACAGAGACAAAGTGCTCTGCTGATGGAGAAGAGCCGCAGAGATGGAGGGTTCTCCTTACGAAGATGAGGTGTGTAATCTTAATTCAAGACTCTTCTTCAAAATGTGTTTGTTTCGTTACCATGAATGGTTGAATTTCAGTTAGTTCTGATAGTTGATGAACTCTTCTTGTGTGTGAATAGACAGTTTAGTGTTTTTGCTGAAGGATGTATAAATTGTTGGAAAATGATATATGGTTCTGTTTTTCTTTTTCTTGAATCTGAGTCATATTTCTTGTTTGGTTTAATCATCATAGTCATTAATCCAAACTGTGTGCACTTTGTCTATGTTCTTGTGTTTGAGCCGGGGGTCTCATGGAAACAATCTCTTCTCTTTTGAGTAGAGTTAAGGTTTACGTTCGCACACACCCGATGCTGGGGTTAGTGCCGTGAAACATATACTATATACCGTAGTTTGTAGGATACTGTCAACTCATTGTCTAGAACTAGTGTTAACACTAAATTCATGCAACAAAATGTCAAAGGCGCGTGCGGGATGTTTTTCTAGTCATGACTAGGGCTGTTCGAGTGTAGGTCCGGACGGAAATAAGTAAAAAACCAACAGAACCAGACCGTTAGGTCAAGACTGAACCCTGACTGAGTAGATTTAGGGTCAGTCTTTGGTCTAGGTTATTTATGTTTTTAGGTTTCAGTCCGGTCTGGTCTAAACCGATTTTGAGCTCCTCTTTGATTGGAATAGAAAATAGGAAGCGAGAGAGAGGAGAGTTTGAGGATAATGGAGACGACGCGGGGGCTAGGGCTCGAACCCGAGCCACCAGATCTGGTTTCCGGCAGTGCTTGAATAGGCAAGTGCATGCGTCAAATTAGCTGTGATTTCATCCTTAAATCAGAAGGCTCTAGGGTATACGGGTAGTTTGTTGGTATAATCTCCAAATCTGAATTGATATTCAAGATCTTCTTCTTATTTGTTAGAACTTGAGTGTGTTTTGTGTTTGGTGTCAAATCTCAGTTAGTATTGATGTTTTAGCTTTGAATTTCAAGTGATATTGATGTTTTAGGTTTGAATTTATGTGTGTATGTGTGTTTGTAGGATCTTACCAGATTCAAAATTGGCTTGTGGAGCTCATTTGAAAGCTCATTTTTATGAAGTTAAAAAAAACCTTCTAGACTTCTAGTACACTGTGTTCTTCTCCCCCCCCCTATTTTTTCTCTTCCGTGTAGTTTCTTCTCCCTACGCAACACACAGGAACAGTTACATTAATTTTTAGGTTTAAACTCACATTGGATTTTTTTCATTTTCGGTCTGTTCAGTCTAGACCTGTTCGATCCAAGTCATTGTGGCCCGGCTTGGTCTAAAACCGATTACTGTTACCGATTACTAATAGGTCCGGTCTTCAGTCTATTTTTTTCAATTCGGTCTTCGGTCTGGCCGGTTCTAGACCGGTGAACAACTCCCGTCACAACCTTCTTAGAAATGAATAATGAATTGAATACATTATGGGTCTGTTTGGTACACGGAATTGAATTGGAAGTTGAAATTCTATGGAATTGATTTGGATGGAATTGAATCCTCCAATTCCAATTCATTTTCGGCACTACCAATTTCAAATCCGCATATTTTTGTGTTACCAAATAGCAAAGTGGGGTTGTTGTCCCCAATTCCAATTTCATAGTTTGAATTTTGTGTATTAAAAGAAGCCATATGTATTTTCCCCCTGCGTGGAAAATGTATTGATTCGTGAGATGGTTGAGTTAAATAGGCACAACAGTCATGAACCGTTAGAAGGTTGAAAGATTGATATGTGGAATTTGTTTTTCTCAAGCAATAAGGTTTAATGCATATAGATTTGTCACCTCTAGTTTCATAGATTTTCGTAGATCTCTGTAGTTTTTAATTATGTAATTTTTATTTTTTTATTTCATACCATTTTTCATATAAAAAGATTGGAAAATAATTTCAGTCAAACATCGTAATGCGCATACGAAGAAATTTTTTGGCGGAAGGAGTAGTTGAGAAGCATATGATGGTTTTGATACGCCTCTTGTTGGAATCAAGTTTCACCAGCCATTTGTTGCACTAGTTTATCCCTTTATGATTTTGATTTCTGTATTCAGAAAAAAAAACCTTGCAGTTGTAGCCGTAGGATGATAAATGCCAAAAACCTCTGTCTTTTATGGGTTATGTTTGGATCCTAGATACTGATAGGGAATGCAGAAAAATACTTGAGGAAAGTCATTTTCTTGTATTGGTTTATCACACAAAATACAAAGAATCATGAACTATGATTAATATTTATACAAATTTTAACTCCCTTTGTTCCAAAAACTCTTTCTCCCTTCATTTTTTTCGTGTCTCACAATCCACTTTTCGTTTATATTAGGAAACCACTTTTATCCCTACTAATTCTTACCATACTTATCACATCATACCTACAACAACAACAACCCAGTTGAATCACACAAGAGTATGGTCTGGAGAGGGTGTGTGTACGCAGACCTTACCCCTACTCGAAAGTAAAGAGGCTCTTTCCAAAGAGACCCTCGGCTCAAGGTCAAAAGTTGCATTGATTGACTAGTTGGAACTTCATTAATTAAAGAAGCGCAGACACTTTAGAAATCCATTTTGCTTTATTCCATCACACCCCAAACCCAAAAAACAATGAATTTTTAGCTCCATCGGAGATGATGGAAATTATCTATCCATCATATCCACTCCTACACATTTTCTTTTCTTCCAATTTTTTCTTTATATTTTCTTCTCTATCATCATATTGATCCTATATATCAATGGTTCAGAAATTGCAATTTCGTGCTTACGGAAGAATGGCATTGTGATACATTACGTTCTGTTCCAAACTCTGCACTGGTGGATAGGATCTAAGCCACTCAGTGTGATGGAGGATGATGCTGTGCATCTTCGGTTAAGGTTCACATGACTAAGGACTATGAGATTCGTACTTTCATCGTTTCAAATACGAGAACTTCGTTCTGTTTTTCTTAACCCAGAAGCCGAATTATGTTACGGGCAATAGTTCATAGGGGAGCTATTTGTTTGGGAGAAAGGCGTGTTCTTGAAAAAGCAGAAGTGTTAAGTCAAAAGCAGAAAACGGTAGCTTTTAGTTTTACTGAAAAACTCTTTTGGAACTTAATTTGCACTTTTGGAGCCATGTAAGTTCTTGGACTAAAACTTCTGTATTTTAGTGAAGGAAGCCTTTAACGTTGTTTTCATACACTCCCGAACACCTTATCAGTTTAATTACTCTACCAGAATATGTATTTATGTGATTATAGATAGTAGTATGATTCCTTTGTGTATCACCGGCTCAATTCATCATATATCTATAAGTGTATTTATAAGTGTACTAAGCATTTCTCTTGAATTACTAGAATGACTTTATTGATTAACATGTCTTTCATGACTTATTTGGTAACACTGGTGACATGATTTTTAACATGCCTATTTTTAGTCTTTTAGTTTTTCTATAACTGTTTCTGAAGGATGGAAAGTACCCAACTTTTCAATTCATAACATGTGTCCATTTGAGTTGTCCTTTCTGTGATTTTAAGTTTCACATGTGAAATGATAGTTGCACATTTCATGGGCTAACAAGTAAATAATCTTTAATAATTTTTTGAAAAAAGCCTAATCTTTTATGATATCAATGTACTAAATCCATGAAAGCCTAATCTTTTATGATATCAATGTACTAAAGCCTAATCTTTAATAATTTTTTGAAAAAAGTCAACCCCTGTTTTCAAATATGAGTGGTTTACCACTGACACCCAAGAACATTACTTTAGCAGAACGCCCACCCCAAGTGCCCCCACAACCGTCTCGACAGGTTTGTGAGAAATAAATCATGATACAATCTCAATCTCATCTTTAGAGAGGTCTCTTTGTGGTTGGTCCGCACAATGAGCTGTTACAAATAATGAAATTCCTACACTGCGCTGTTGGAATTTGATTCTAGAATCAACGAACTTGACATCCTCTTCTTAGACCAGTTGAGCTACCCATGCAGGCAAGAACATTACTTTAGTTACATGTCTTATGCTGGTCTAACTTATCTAAGTTCAATCAAAACTTTTAAGAAATTTTTAGACCTAAAAACTTAAATTTCATCAATGTAGTTAACTTGAAAATCATTAAACTTTGGAGGTTGGACTATTGTGGAGGTGTGCCTGGTTCAAACAAAACTTTACCCTTTTAACTTTGTTTCCCTCTGTTGGAAAGTGTTTAATAACATTATACTGTAAACTTTCCCTTGTCACCTAAGCAAACATCTTTCATTGTATTGATAGACAATTAAGAGTAAGCAATGCTCTAAAAATAGTACTCCCTCCGTCCTATAATATTTTTTCCAGTTCATTTTACGAAATTTGACCGACTTTATTTTCAATTCAATTTATTTGATTGTAGGTATAAAATTAAAAAATAAAATTTATATATTTAAAAACTACACAAAATATTCTACAAAATAAGTGGTGACAAGACTATATTATTTTATCAAATACCTAATGAAAATAGGTAAAGAAAGTGATTAAAGTTTGACCGGATAAAAAGTGAGTGAGAAGAACATCTTAGGACGGAGGGAGTATTTATAAAATTATAATATTTGTTTACTATTCACAGGGTTAAATTTTATTCACTTTCTTTATTTTCGTTAGTAATTTGATAAAATAAAGTATTATTGTCATTACTAGTTTTGTAGATCTTTTGATGTAGTATTTTAATATGTAATTTTTATTTTTTAATTATATACCAATTGTCATATAAAATGATTTGGAAATAATTTTAGTCAAACATCGTAAACCAAAATATGCGTTATAAAATGGGACAGAGGGAGTAATTTTTACACAATGTTTCAAGGATAAAGCTATTTGTACCCTATTGTATACCACAGGTGTATACCAACATTTTGTATTGATGTAATGCTGATTTTTGTTAACACATCAAAACTTTGTGTCAATGTAAATTTTTGTTAACGCACAAACACATTGTATTAATGTGAATCATCAAAATGTTAATATATACCTTTGGTGTAAGTTTGTGATATAATTTTCGGTGTAAGAGCATCTCCAACTTTATTCACTATATTGGCTTGCTATTTTTATATTTTAACAAGTGAATAGTGATATAGCAAGTGATATTTTGTTCCATTCTCCAATCATGGCTTGCTAATCTATTCTACAACTCTTGGATTCCTATAATTTGGAGAGCTTGTTATATTTAGCAAGCCAAAATCATTTTTTGACAAGTTTACTAATATTTAACACACCCATTAGAGAAGAGAAAAATGAGTAGATTTTCTATATTATAGCTTTTAGCAAGCCAAAGTAGGATGATTGGAGATGCTCTAAGTGTAACAAAATTAGATAAGGAAACATAAGGAGTACTTTTTTTCTTTCACTTTAAAAATTTTCTCCACATGTTTTTCCATTTTACTCCTTTTCTACACATCAAAACAATTAGTTATTTCTTTCCATTTCTCATTTTCTTTTCCACAAACAAGAACACTAGAGCTCCGTTTGGTACACGGAATTCAAACTATGAAATTAAAATTGAAAACTTCAATTTCTAATCTCGTATTTGGTAGAACAAAAAATTATGTGGATTTAGAATTGGTAATACAAAAAAAGAATTGAAATTGGTAAATACAATTCCAATTAATCAATTTCGTATACCAAATGGAACCTAGAGGCAAAGAACATTTCAAACCTTCATTTCAGAAATCCACTTTTATTTGCAGAACCAAAACCACTAGGCACTCATCTCACCCCTAATTCCAAAAACCCAAAAAAAAAAAAACATTCAAAACCATTCATTCAGTCAACGTTGACCTGGAAGACATCCTTCCTCTCCTCCTGCTTCACCTTGGGAACGGCCACCTTCAGCACTCCGTTCTTCATCTCCGCTTTAATGGCGTCCAGCTTGTACAGGTTCGCCGGAATGTCGAGCCTCGTCGAATACCTCCTCCGCGCGTACTCCTCCCCGTCCTCCTTCGCCTCCTTCCCGGCCTCCTCGCCTTTGATCATCAGCGTGTTCTCCTCCACCCACACCTTCACGTCGCCCTTCCCCAGCCCCGGCATGTCCATGTTGATGTACAGCGCATTGTCGTCCTCCTTCACGTCCCATCCCCTCCTCGGCGCCGCCGCGGCGGCGGCAGGGAATCCGCCGAACGACGCCGCCAGAGGATTGTCCATCAATTGGTCCATCATGTTCAGCAGCTGGCTCACGCTCCTCGGCGGCGACAACGGATCAAACGAATCTGCAGAAACACACTCAGATCTCTCAATCCAGATCTCAATTCCGACTCAAATCCCTAGAAATCAAACAAATCTGAAACCGAATTTGATGAAATCAAAACCTAATTTCAAATAAAAAAAAGTACTAACCTGAAACGTAGCCAGGGGAAGAAGCCTCGCGGCGGCGAACGTCAACAGAGCGGTCGTCGTCCTCGTAGGCCTTCATCTGAGCGTTGGTGTTGAACGATCGGAAAACGGAAGGGGCGGCGGCGGCCTGGCGGGCAGGGCCGACGAGCCTGTTGAAGAGAGAAGAAGTGGCGGCGGCAGCTCTCCTGATAGCCATTGAAGAAGCCATTGAGCTCTTCAAATCAAGAGGGAATAGTGAATCGAAACTGATCTGGTTTGCGTGATGGATGATTCCAATTCGATCTGAGATGGTTGGTGGAGCGGATGGAGAAGTGTTTATATAGTGGAAATGGTGGAGTGGCTTGGAGAAGGGGATAAGGGTTCTAGAAAGATTGAGAGTGAAGAAGAAGAAGAAGAAGAAGGAGGAAGAGTGTAGAATGTTCGAGTAATACCGGATGTTTCTAGAGTCTTTTCAAAGTTTGTATTCAAAGCCCAACCTATACACTTTGGATCTTTTAATTATGTAAAGGCCCAACTCAATTTATTTTTTGTCTACTCCTTTTTGTTTAATGAATAAGGGTGTGTTTGGATTGGGAAAGTGTTTTTTTTTTGCGTCTCTGAATTTTTAGAGGATTGTACGATTTATTACGAACTTTAAAAAAAGTACCACTGTCCCTTGAAGCTTTAAAAAGTTGCACGAACAGTTCCTTTGTGTCAGATAATAGAGTGCGTAAATTACACGCTCATCAATATTCAATATATACATGATAAAGTTTGATTAAAATATCATGAATTGATGAAGTGGTTGATCAGTTGATGACGAGCTTTATCGACTGCTGTTCGCCCTTCAAATTTGGTTACCGATAATTATATCGAAAATATTTATCTAGAATTTAAAGAGGTTAAAAATATAGAAAATAATACTTAGGAAGAATACGTTGTAGAACATGCATGTGATATATGACTTAAGATCAATTCGTACTTGTATTGCATGAGCATGTGATTAACGCATTCTCAAATCTGACACAGAAGAATCATTGGTACAACATTTTTAAAAGTTTAGGAGGCACTGGTGCAATTTTTATATATCAGGAGACATCCGTGTAATTTTTGAAAAGTTTGGGGGTAAATTGCACAAAAAGCTCATTTGGGAAATATTTTCCCTGGTAATTTTATCTACGTTATGGTCGTTAAATTTTTTTGTCAACTTATTATGTCCACAAACTACAAGAGAGGTTTAGGGTCCTGTACGGTTTGCAACTTGCACACCCTACGGGCTACCCGTGATTATTTCTATTGTTATTATTATTATTATTATACGGAGTATTTATTATCATTATTATTGTTATTATTCTTAATTTGTTATTTACTCTCTAATTTTAAGAAAAATAACACTCATGCTCCCACCAAAATTTTTATACCTCATTAATCTTTCACTATCTCCACTTGTATGAAAAAAGTAAAATATTTTTAGTCTTCAATTGAGAATTAGTTTTGGTAATTTATTTATGTATAATTTATAAATTTAAAATTTTTTACTCCGATATTTAATTAGTTCAAAATATAAATAGTAATTCACAATATTAAGAAAAAAATGATACTTCGTAATAAATAAATAAATAAAAATTAGTGTGGTTTTATTTAAAAAAATTAGGGTCGGATTGGTGAGTTTTGAAGATACGATAAGATATGACTATATAAGTTAAGAAATTTAGGAGAAAATTATATGGGTTTTAAAATCTGAAACGAATTTGTTTGTAGAGATTAAAATCATGATTTAATTAGTGATTAGCAGGGGTGACCGGCAACGGGGGTGGTTGGCAATGACAATGGTAGTCGGTGACAGAAAATGGTGAACGATGATATCAAACCCTCATATGAATATCTCCCAAATTTGGGAGATATCGAGACCTTCCATTTGAAGGATTTATAATATTTGACGATATCAAATTCGGTTTCTCTTTTGGCTAGACCAAACAATAAAAAAGAATTCTGATACCTGGAGATATCAAAATTCCTATCTTGTTTGCTTGCCAAACACACCCTTTAGTGTAGCAAAGTTGTTGATTAATTTTTTAATAATGATGGAAATAATAATACTCATTATTCATTAATAATAATATAAGAAGAAGTAAATAATAATTAGCGTTATTTTTTAAAAAGAACTAGAGTAGTAAAACATTGAAAAATATACTAAAATAGGACTTTTATATTTTTATTTTTGAAATAGAAGTTAAAATGTATTTACATTACCAAACACTAGTATCACACCTGTGTGTTGCACGGGTCATAGCTACGGTAGTAAATTAAGATAATTTTTAGGAATATAAAGTGGTATATAATGGAATGTAGATACTTCATTATCTTAAAGTACAAAAGTAAACTGATTTACAAATTTTGAAAAACTTCTTTATAAACTACATCACTCGCATAATTTGTGTGAGCATTCACTTCGTTATATATGAGAATCTTCAAGACATTGCGATTTATTACTCTTAAAACTGCAACATACACTTGCCCATGACTAAATACCGATTTCCATAACAATAATTCAACATGTTTCAGAAATTGTCCCTGACACTAATTCAATAATTTGACTTATCGAAGTAATAATTCAACATATTAATGTATTTATTTTGGAATTTGTATTTTTTTAATTTTATTTCTGTATTTAAATGGTACCATTTACTTACCCTATGGTATTTATTTTCTATTTTATTTTAGATCACTTATCATTTTACACGTATTCATGCTTGTAAATTATAGTATTAATAGCATTGAGTTTAGAATACTTACCATTGTTACATGATTCCATGCTTATAGTATTAATTTATAATTTTTTTATTTTTGCATTTAAATGGTACCATTTACTTTATGTACCATATTTTTTTAATTTATTTTATAACCCTTACCATTTTTACACGTTTCCATGCTTGTAAATTATAGTATTAAATGATAGTATTAATTTGTAGTTTTCAATTTTATTTTTGTATTTAAATGGTATCATTTACTTACCGTACCATATTTATTTTCTAATATATTTTAGAACACTTACCGTTTTGATATTTATTTTATTTTCTAACTTATTTAGAACAGTTACCTAGTTTATTTTAGAACATTTACCATTTATTTTATTTTTGTGTTTAAATGGTACCATACTGTACCGTATTTATTTTCTAATTTTCTAATTAGAACACTTACCTTTTAAAAAACATTTTCGTGCTTTTTAATTATAGTATTAATATTAGTTTTTCAGTTTTTTATTTTATCTTCGTATTTATATCGTACTAATTAATTACCAAACCACATTATTTTTTTAATTTATTTTAGAATGTTTATCATTTTTAGATGTATTTTATTTTCTCTTTTATTTTAGAACACTTACCGAATTTATTTTATAACACTAACCATTTATTTTATTTTCGTTTTTAAATGGTGTCAATTGCTTACCGTAACATACCTATTTATTTTCTAATTTTCTAATTAGAACACTTGTCATTTTTAAAACGTTTTCATGCTTGTAAATTATAGTACTCCCTCCGTCCCAATTTATAATGCATATTCACTATTCACAGGGTCAAACTTCATTCGTTTTCTTTCTCCATTTTCGTTAACAATTTGATTAAAAAAAGTACTATTGTCACTACTAGTTTTGTAGATATTTTGATATAGTATTTTTAATATATAATTTTTATTTTTTTTAACTCTATACCATTTGTCATATAAAATGTTTTGAAAACAATTTCAGTCAAACATCGTAAACCGAAACAGACACTATAAATTGGGACGGAGGGAGTATTAATATTTATTTGTAGTTTTTTATTTTATTCTTGTATTTAAATGTTATCATTTACTTACCGTACCATATTTATTTTCTAATCTATTTTAGAAAATTTACCATTTTTACACGTCTGTGCTTGTAAATTATAATTTTTTTTGTAATAAATAAATAATTTGTAGTCTTTTTTAAATAAATCATTTTAATCCCGCCCATACTTTTTTAATTTATAATTTTTTAATTTTATTTTTATATTTAAATGGTAGTGTATTTTATTTCCATACTTTAATTCTCCAACGGTTCACTACTATTTAAATTAAATTAATTTAATTTAAATACCTAAACGGTGTAACATTTAAATAACAATGAAAACATACTTAAAATGGAAGGAAAACATTAAGGGTCCGTTTGGTATACGGAATTGATGGAATTGGAATTGAATTTGAATTGATATTCCATGGGATTCAATTTCATAGAATTGAATTCACCAATTCCAATTTATTTTTTGCACTATCAATTCCAAATCCACATAATTTTTGTGCTACCAAACACCAGAATTGAAATTGAAGTCCTGAATTCCAATTCCATTATTTAAATTCCATGTACCAAACGGAGCCTCCCCTAAGGCAAAATAATTAAACTACCATTTATGTTATCAACACTTTCCATATATGAGCGAGAAAACATTCACTTCTTTTTAAATAAAGTATAAATAGTCATGTACATTACCAAAAAGTATAGTAATGTACACATGTACAGTGCCACATTACCACAATGCGAAGTCCTATTTCGGAAATAAAAATATGAAAAATCTTATTTTTGTACTTTTCTCTATGTTTTAGTATTATTTAGAGTGATTTCTATTACAAAAGCGCTTGTGATGAGTATATTGGGCCAAAATGTAATTATTAATGTAATCAACCCATTATATTTATCGATTTATTCGACCTCGCGCCTGTAGTCCAGACCCAAAGGCAACCCGAGAGCTTATTGGCGGGTTAAACCCGTCCAGGCCATGAGGTGAGCTTGATGGGTTCGATCCGAATGTACCCCGGGTTAGTAAATTGGGGAAAGGTTTAACTAAGTTTTCATTGAGAAGCCTATTACGATTAGGAAGCTTAGATATCAGAAAAACCTCCCAAGTGTTTTGAGTAAAGAGAGAATTCTTTCGTTTCTATTCTTGAATTTCGATATTCTTGTCTCTTATTCAATTTTTTGCGTAAGTACTCAGAGATTTACGTGAGATTAATGGTTGGTAGAATTAAATTCCATCACATATTTTAATTGAATTTACAGATATCGAAAATTACTAACGACTTTGTATTATACTAATATATTTGTTTGTTTACTCTAAGTTACTTCCTTTTGATATAATTGTCACTTTCAAAAAAAAAAGTTGATATAATTCTCATTATGTGCTTGGATTGTTTATTCGGAGCATGATGATGTTAACAAATTTCTGCTACTCCTAAATTTTTATAAATATTTTTGATTATCTACTTCGTGTTTGGAAAGGCGTTGACACATACTCTCTCCTTTCCGAAATAGATTGCAATTTTTTTCTTTCTTCTCG